GGGGCGGGGCGGGGCGGGACGCACTCAGCTCCTTCACGCAGTCGTTGACCAGCTGCTGCTCCTTCTCCTCGTAGGTGATGGTCTCCGTCTTCAGCTGGCAGGCCTGCGGACGAGAGCCAGGTCAGACGCCGCGCGTTCTCACCTGGCCAGGTGGGGCAGACACGGGCCGAGGCGTAAAGCCAGGGCTAACCTGGGTCTGGGCGGGCAGCTGCCCTCTGCAGCCCCCACGTGTCCCCGTTGCAGCCTCAGATACACAAAGTCCATCCGAGTCCCCGCCTAGTTAAGGGCCGTGCGCGCTCACGCCGAGAACCGTGTACCGCCAGAGGGTGCCGCGCAGAGCCGCGGGCACAGGCGCTCTGCGGCTTCACCATCCTATCCTGGCATCTGTTCCTGTCTGTCCATTTGTGGCTGTCCCGGCTCATAAATGTGGATGCTCTGTGGCCCTCACAGTGCCTGGGACACTACCCTGCCCACAGCAGGCACCCTAAGGATAACCACGTAGGAATGGCAAACACCTGCTATGTGCCAGGCACCGAACCCTGAGGTTCTGGGTTGCACTTAAACCTGCTGTGAACAAGGCTCAACACAAAAGCATGACGATGCAGAGGCACAAGAACCGTCCCAGGACTCTGGACAACTTGCCCTGGCTGAAAAGCGTGGGATGACAGACATCTGAAGGCCAGGCACAGTGGCTCACACCTAGAATCCCAGCACTTCGGGAGGCCGAGGAGGGAGAACTGCTTGAACCCAGGAGGCAGAGGACGATGCAGTGAGCCAAGATCATGCCACTGCACTCCAGCGTGGGTCACAGAGCGAGACCCCATCTCAAAAAAAGAAAGAGAGAGAGGGGAAGAAGGAAGAGGGGGAGTGAGGGCCCCAGTTAGACAGAAGTGTCTGAGCCCTGGGTCCTGGCTCCAGAAAGACATTACACTCGGAGCGGAGGTGGGGTAGCAGGAGTCTGTAGCTGGGATCGGATTCCCTCAGCTGGCTTTGGGTGAAGACTCTGACAGGGCTGAGTTCCTGGGCACCTGGGGCTGGAGCATTTACCTGCGTCAGGTGCTGGAAGAGGTGGCACTGGACTGGGAATGGGGAGCAGGGGGCTGCTGCCTTGCTTGGCTACTGGCTGGCAGAGGAAACCTGGGCAGCCTTCTTGGTCAGTCTGGGTTTACGTGACCCATCAGTGAACAAGGGGCTGGAAGAGGTGAGGTCCAAGAGAACAGGGTGTGCAGAAGAGCATCTTGCTCAGGTGGGGCGTGAAGATCTTACCAAGGTGTGGGCAAGTTCGACAGTCAGTCTGGACTATTTGAGGGGCTCCCAGGAGCCCAGGGCCAGCCTAGGTGGGCACACAGCTCCCACCTGACACAGGCCTGATAAACAGGCTGTACTTTGGCCAGAGGACAGAAAGTCACCACTGATTAAGACAGATGGTACTAAATCTGCACACATTGGTGTTTCTAGAGGGTGCAGTGGGTGGAGGCAGAAAACAGGGGCTTAGAGTCACAGACTTGCAAATCGTAGCTTTGTCATTTACTCACTTGAATGACCTTGGGTTATCAAAACACCTAGCAGCCTGGGGCCCACTGTTCCAATGAGAATCAGAGTAAGGAGCTTTCAGCCCTGTTGTGAAGACTAAAAAAACAAGGCGGGCAAAAGCCCGGGCACAATCCCTTGGCAACGAAAGTAACAGCACGGGTCCCCAGTCACCTCGGCTCAGGCTTTTTGAGTTAAGAAATACGGCTCTACCAGGCACAATGGCTCACACCTGTAATCCCAGCACTTTGTGAGGCTGAGGTGGGTGGATCACCTACGGTCAGGAGTTCGAGACCAGCCTGACTAATACGGTGAAACCCCGTCTCTACTAAAAATACAAAAATTAGCTGGGCGTGTGGCGCATGCCTAGAATCCCAGCTACTTGGGAGGCTGAGACAGGAGAATTGCTTGAGCCCCGGGGGCAGAGATTACAGCGGGCTGAGGTTGCACCACTGCACTCCAGCCTGGGTGACATAGTGAGACTCTGTCTCAGAAAAAAAGAAAAAAAAAAAAAAAACAGAAAAGAAAAAAAAGAAATCTGGCTGTGAGCATCTGCTCTGTGGCAGCATGAAAGCAAGGCTGGGCTTCTCCGCAGGTGCTGTGGTCAGAGCTGGAGCACACCGGGGAGACCTCGCCACAGGGCCGACGGTGAAGGAGGGGTGTCCAGTCTTCCCAGTCCCCTCGCTGTGTCATTCAGCAGCCAGGGAGGCATGTGCTGGGCTGGAAGGCAGTGCCCGGAGCATAGTGGAGGCACGTCTGCTGAGCGTCTGGCACAGCTCTTCACAGACTGCCACCTCTGAGGAGGGCACTTAACCCTGGCTGACCTCGCCAGATAAGGCAAATGGGGCCACCTCCCTTCCAGCAGGGGCAAGAGCAGGGAGTGCACGTCACCTCGGATCGAAGTACAACATTCTCCTCTTCAAGGTCTTTCAGCTTCTTTTGAAGAGAATCCAAATGAAAGTAATTCTGGACTGAGGAGGACGACTCATTCCTCTTTAACCTGGGGGAGAAAGTACAATCACGATCCGGGGAGACACGCTTCCCCCCAGCACCTGGGAAACCACGTACAGACACAAGGAGGGGCGTGCAGAAGGGCAGGGACCCACCAGACTACTCTCCCACCCCCAGGAAGACAGCACCCGGTGCACCGATTCAGACCCACAGCTCAACCCTGTACCCACAACCTGCCACGTCACCTCGGAACTCAGGGCCACCAACTCTGTTTAAAGCCTACACAATTCCAGGATGTCTGGGAGTTTATTTGATACTCATAATGCATTTGTATGTGCCAAGAACTCTTTTAAGTACTCTGTATGTTTCAACTCAATTAATGCTTAAACTGTGACCTAAGTTCTACTGCTATCTCCATTTTACAGATGAAAACTCAAGTCACAGAGATTGAGTAATCTAGCCCACAGCATGCAGCTAGTGAGGCCCAGAGCCAAGATGTGCCGCAGCCTGCTGGGCGCTAGAGTTCACGCTCCCGACACAAGGCTCTGCGGACTCAGAGAAGATGCCACACCTTCTGTCCCAAGGACGTGCCCCAGCACCTCTGGCTCCAGAACCCTGAATTCCCTCCAACAGCAGAGCCTAACCCATGGTCCACTAATGTTCCAGGGCACATCGATCTAAATTGACAAATAAGCAATAAGACCCAGGAAAAGGAAAAATAAAAACCTGTCCACTTGGTCCCACTAAAACAGTAACATGAATCTGTTTGAGGCCCTTGGAGACGTTTGGCCCAGAGAAGGCTGGGCGCAGGTGACCCCCACTGCTGATGAAGGTGACCCTGTCTAGGTGACCCTAAGGACGTAACAGCGGTCAGCCTGTGCTCTGGCCTCTGGAAACACAGCCCTCTGGTGACTTACGGGGTTGAGCAAACAGACTCGGGCTCACTCTCCTCTGCTGCGCTGGTGTAGAACTGAAGCAGCTCATCCTTCATGGACAGCTCATGCCGGAGCTGAGACACCTGCACAGGCAGAGCCAGGGTGTCATTTGCTTCCCAAAGGTAATGCCATCCCAACCCACCTTCCAACACTTACCACTTGGTGACAGTATTTTCTTAAAATTCACCATTGAAAGTAAAAGCATTTAAACTGATTTTGTGCTGCTCAAAACAATAGGCTTTCATTTGATCTATTTAAAGGAAACACAATTACTTTTTGGCAAAAAACTGTCTGAATTTGTAATTTTTACTTTGGTACAAGGAACAGCAGAGAGGGGACTAGAATGACGCTTGGTGGCCGGGTGCCGTGGTTCATGCCTGTAATACCAGCATTTCGGGAGGCTGAGGTGTCGGGTGGATCATCTGAGGTCAGGAGTTCTAGAGCATCTTGACCAACATGGTGAAACCCCAACTCTACAAAAAATACAAAATTAGGCCTGGTGTGGTGGCTCATGCATGTAATACCAGCACTTTGGGAGGCTGAGGCAGGTGGATCATTTGAGGTCGGGAGTTTGACAGCAGCCTGACCAACAGGAGAAACCCCGTCTCTACTAAAATACAAAATTAGTCGGGAGTGGTAGACATGTCTGTAATCCAGCTACTCAGGAGGCTGAGGCAGAAGAATCACTTAAACCCAGGAGGTGGAAGTTGCCGTGAGCCGAGATTGCGCCATTGCACTCCAACCTGGGCGACAAAAGCAAAACTCCATCTCAAAAAAAAAAAAAAAAAATTTAGCCAGGCATGGTGTCACAAGCCTGTAATCCCAGCTAGTCGGGAGGCTGAGGCAGGAGAATCACTTGAACCCAGGAGGCAGAGGTTGCAGTGAGCCGAGATCGCGCCATCGCACTCCAGCCTGGGTGACAGAGCGAGACTCTGTCTCAAAAAAGGAATGACGCTTGTGGGGGATGAGACTACCAGGGGCTTTGGATGCAGCCAGATGACCAGCTGGGCAAGTGGCCAGAAAGATGGGTCACGTTATGAAGGAGGAGGCCATTCATTCACTGCTGCCAGAACCAAATCCCAGCTCCAAACAGGATCCTGGCGATGCCAGGTCTGCCTGGGCCAGCACAGGCAGCTTGCCGACCTGGCTCTCATGCTCGGACGACTGCACAGCCCACTCTGTGATGCACCCTCATAAGGCTTCTGGCCATGCCTGGCCAGACCTCGTTCTGTGTTCGCTGCTCACTGGATAAGAATTTCAGACACAGGAAGAACGGAGGCAACCATCAGGGAAGGCCACACCGACTCCTGCTGAGGTGGCTTTGCAGACCACCCCGATTTGTACTTAAGGTTTTCAAATACAGTTCTACTGTAAAGTGTTTCATTTGCCCTTTCACTCTGCAGTGCTGATGAACAGGGAACCAGTGCTAGAAAAAGAACCGCAATTATGTTCTAATTTTCTCGTTTGTCATTTGACCTAGGGTCTGTGGTTTATTGCAACTTTTCTACATAACACAGTGAATTACGATGTCTTCCATGGAGAAGACAATTTTATGTGCATAAAGGGTTTAGCTTCGACACCGAGACTGATAATTGAATAATACGCCAACGGGAAAGATGTAATAGCTTTCAAATTCGAAGCTTTTCCAAGGGGAAAAGGCATTTCCACTCCCAGAGAGTTGCATCCTCTGTGCAAGTGAGGCCTGTCCCAAGCAAGGACAGCAAAGTGAACAAGCCGACAGGTGACCATTTGTGGGCTACTGGGTGGCAGGTCTCTCTGCTCTGAAGTGGCCGGGAGGGGGCCAGCCTGACCCAGCAAGCTTTCCCATCAGTCACATGAGAGGGAATCCAGGTCATGACGCTGGGGACAGGGAATGCAGGAATCACTTTATTTCTCTTAAAATACAACAGCATTCTCCCTTATTGTATTTTAAAGAAAAGCTAGGATTAAAACTTTTCTATACGGTAGCAACTATGCTTCATCATATTAAAACTATTGTTAAACCCAGACAACAATGTACTGGGAATAGCTTTAACAAGAAAGAAGTTTGAAGGCATCTTAGGTACCAGAGCATCCACTCCCACTAAGGAAGATTCTGATAGAAAACAAGGGAGAAGAGGCCAGGCACAGGGGCTCACGCCTGTAATCCCAGCCCTCTGGGAGACTGAGCCCAGGAGTTTGAGACCAGCCTGGGCAACATGGTGAAACCCTTCTCTACAAAAAAACACGAGAATTAGCCGGGCGTGGTGGCACGTGTCTGTGGTCCCAGCTACTCAGGAGGCTGAGGTGGGAGGATCACTTGAATCCAGGAGGTGGGGGCTACAGTGAGCTGTGATCTTACCACTGCACTCCAGCCTGGGGGACAGAGTGAGCCCTTGCCTCAAAAAGAAGAAAAGAAAAGTGAGGAAAAGAAACAAGGAGGAGAGTTCTCACAGTTAAAATTCACTGTTAAAAGAACAGGGTGACAGAAAGGAAACTCCTAAGGAGGGCAGGGCTCTAAGCCTCTTATCTTTGCTCCAGCCATCCCCCCGACCCCACAGCTGCCCCCTCCGTGCACACCACGTCCCTTCCAGAAAACCAGGATCACTCCTCCTAAGCCGAGGCACCCTAAGCTGGGCCAAAAGTTGCATACCCTTCCTCTCACCTCTCATATCCGCCAGCCAAGACTCACGTCATGGAAATAAGAGGGCTCTGTCATGAAAGCAATAGGCCTTGTTGTTTTGTTTTGCTTTACAGTACAAAATTACACTGTCACGATGACGTGAGTCTCCGCTTTCCTCTGTGTGCAGAGCTGACGTCCTCACAGGGCTCCTCTCCAGCTGCGCACGCCCAGCCCGACTCGGGAAGCCCTGCTTGTTGGGGTGGCTGCCCGGATGCCCTTCTGACACACGTGGGGCGCCTGGACCAGCCTGGACTCTCCGAGGGCAAGGACTGTGGCTGACCCACCACGGCACACAGGCGTGCGACTGAGTGAGGGCCGTGCCTGCCCGATCCACCCATCCTCACTGCCGGAGACAGACAGGAGGCACTGGCAGGGCGGGAGCTGCAGGGAGGCGGCTTTCAGGCCCCAGCTGCCCATCTCGGAGCAGACGGTTCTGGGCTCCGGCCGTGGTGGTGCCCCCGGGAGGGACCTTCCAACCAGGACCCCGTTCGGCCTTCTCCTTCAGCCGTGCCCACGGCCCCCGGGCCCTCCGCAAGCCTCGGCTGCCGCTCTCACCTCCTCCCTGACGTGTTCCACCTGCTCCTCCAGCAGCTCGTTCCTCTCCGTGAGGGTCTTGTTCTTCTTCAACAACGACTGGCCGATGCGGGCGGCCAATTCCAAATCCCGCTCTTTCTGCGGAAGGAAAGAGGGAGAACAGGGGTTCAAAAGACCTGTGTTTCCTGAAGGAGCCAGCGGTGCTCTGCGCCAAGTGAGGAAAACAAGGGCATCTAGGAACAACAGGGGAATTAATCATTCGCATCCGTGCTGGCATCTGATGCCTGTTAAAACAGGTGCAACCCCTGCCCGCATCGCGTGTGAGAGCTGCACGGACGGCAGGCAGTAGAAGGGAGGCCTGAAAATGTAATGAGAAAGGCTTTGTTCCTACACAAAAGAAAAACACGCTTCTCAAAACAGTTATATGCAACTGCTTTGTGACTGTGCAATCATGGGATAGTTGGGTGGGCTATTGTATTGCTAGGGCTATTTGCTAGCCCTAGCTGTTTGTTAAGCTGTTTGTTAAGTGAATGAATGAATGAATATAGAAATTCTAAATGCTCTTACAATGAAGCCAAGAGCTGACCCAGGGAGGCAGCCTGTCTAGCACACATTAGGCTGGAATGCATTGAGTTTCTTGTTTTTGCCTCAGGTGAAACAAAAATGTTTAAAGTTACTCTGTAAAACAATGACGTGCTTTTTTGTTTCGTTTTGTTTTTTACTTAGAAAAGGCTACTCAAGCTTCATTAAGAAACAAACAACTTCCGAAATGGAGCTATTAGGCATAACATGGCCATACTTCACAGACAAAAACATGCTTAAGGCACAGAATTTTCTGTTAGCTCAGCTGATGGCATGAGTTAGACAGGGCGAGACTCTATCTCAAAAAAAAAAAAAAAAAAAACCAAACACACACACACAAAAACACAGAGGAAAAGTGGGAGTGGCGTGTAAAGGCAGGACAGCCTCTGTGGGAAGAAAGACGTCCTGGATAGTGCACAGGTGCCATGAGCAAATGCAGACTTGGTGATTTGCTACCACTGTCTGATTCAACTTGGGTGTTGGCAAAGGGAGGAGAAGTCAGAAAAACGAAATCATTTTAGAAGTCTCCGCCAACGACTCTGTTCATCTGGTTTGAAAGAAAGAATGGAACGTGTTCTCTGGGGCAGGAAAATTGCTGGGGAGGGGTCCTGGGCTCTGACCCGGCACCTGCTATTAACTTCCCACACGGTCCCAGGCAAAGGGCTTCTGCCTCACAGGATCAGGCACGCTACAGATTCTTCTTTTTTATTTTTGAGACGGAGTCTCACTCTGCTGCCCAGGCAGGAGTACTTGGCACGATCTTGGCTCACTGCAATCCCTGCCTCTCAGGTTCAAGCGATTCTCCTGCCACGACCTCTTCAGTAGCTGGGATTACAGGTGCGCACCACCCATGCCCAGCTAATTTTTGTATTTTTAGTAGAGACAAGGTTTCACCACATTGGCCAGACTGGTCTCAAATCCTGACCTTAAGTGATTCACCTTCCTTTGGCTCCCAAAGTGCTGGGATTACAAGCAGAAGCTGCTGCCTTCAGCCAACAGATTCATTTTTCAGAACACGGGTTTCAAACCCATTAGTGGGTTGAGAGACCATTTTAGTGACAGCAACCAACCTTTTGTTTTAATTTAAATACAGTGGCACAGAACGGAAAACACCAAAGTGCATCACATGTAATAAGAGTATTACTTCATGTTTAAACTGTTGTCTCGTCACGTATTTGCCTATGTGAGTACTGGGTCACAACATAAGCTGTGCTTCTTACAGCAGGTACTGGTCACAGGTTCCGCTGCTCCAGATGAACCAGCCTACCGCACACTGGGAGACCATGGGTTCTCTATGTGAATGCGGTTCCCTCAGCTGTTAAAGGGAGGTGAAGGGGCAGGCTAGCTGAGATATTCTAGAAAAACTCTTCTAGCCTTATGACTCATTGACTTTTAGAATAAGTAGAATAATCAACTTTTATTCCTAACTTCTTAGATATCCACCAAATTTTTCCATGCAATCGCACCACATCTCCCTTTGCAAAGCCCACGAATTCCACTGAAGATGAGCATCGCACTTGAGGTCTAAGACTGGATTCAACTGCACCTCGGCTCCCTCTCACAGGGCGGCGGCCTCGCTCCTCCAGGCCCTCCAGAGTCCCCAAAATGGCACTGCTGTCACCACAGTCCCAGAAGCCAGCCAGGTATCACAGTTATCAAAAATGAGCCGGGTGCAGCGGCTCACGCCTGTAATCCCAACACTTTGGGATCACTTGAGGTCAGGAGGTGGAGACCAACCTGGCTAACATGGCAAAAACCCCATCTCTACTACAAATACAAAAATTAGCTAGGTGGGGTGGTGGGGGCCAGTAACCCCAGAGACTCGGGAGGCTGAGGTCAGAGAATCGCTTGAACCCAGGAGTCAGAGCGAGCGGTGAGCCGACATCACCCCACTGTACTCCACCCTGGGTAAGAGAGGAAGGCTCTGTCTCAAAAAAAAAAAAAAAAAAAAAAAAGAGCTACAAATTCCCCAACTCATTCCCACACCTGTGCCTCCTCATCGTGACGCTTCCTTTCTGGAAACAGTACATGTGGAGAGGGCCCATGAGTCTTCTCAATCAACCGAGATGCTCATTCCTGCACATTTATCCACGCTGGTCACAGTGTCTACTAAGAAGTTCCCTTGGCCGGGGGCAGTGGCTCATGCCTGCAATCCCAGCACTTTGGAAGGCCAAGGCTGGAGGGTCTCCTGAGCACAGGGGCTCAAGACCAGCCTGAGCAACAGAGGAAACCCCATCTCAAGATACAAAATTGAAAGAAAGGTCCCTTATCTCATAGCCCTTGGCCATGTCTCAGACTGAACAGTTGTGCTCATTAGGCACCTACAGGAAAGGGTTCAAAGACTCGTGTGAGGGAGACTGCACAGAATTAAAGTCTCCAGGGGCTCACTCAAGACCAGCACCCAGCCCACATGCTTTCAGCTGGATTTGGTTAAAACTGCAATACCAATGTTCGCTTCCCCTTGGAAGTGTGGTCTCCATAAATCTAACTCGGGTCTACCAAATGTCTCGTGTAGAACACTCGGCAGGCGCTTCGTCAGTGCTCCTCAGTTCACCACCTCACTACCTGTTCTGCATTGCCTTCAGGCACTCAGGCTGCCAAGTTCCAACAAGCACTGATACTTTGCATGCCTTGGCCATGTATACGCACACACATGTATATTTTTATATGGAGTCTCGCTCTGTTGCCAGGCTGGAGTGCAGTGGTATGATCTTGGCTCACTGCAACCTCTGCTACCTGGGTTCTAGTGATTCCTCTGCCTCAGTCTCCTGAGTAGCTGGGATTACAGGCACACGCCACCTCACCCAGCTAATTTCTGTATTTTTGGTAAAGATGGGGTTTCACCATGTTGGCCAGGCTGGTATCGAACTCCTGACCTCAAGTAATCCACCCATCGCAGCCTCCCGAAGCGCTGGGATTACAGGCGTGAGCCGCCGCACCCACCTGGACTTTACCACATCCTGCATGCACATTTCAGTGTAAACAAATGAAGCACAAAGTATAATATGAAGTTGCGTCAGGCAAGGCAAAGAATGCCAGCGTGCCTGAAGGATGCGGAAGGCTCACAAAAGGCCAGAAACCAACAGGAACTGGGAGACAGGACGGGGAAGAGAAACAGTTCGGGCGGTGAGCTCAACAATGAAGTCCTCTGTCTGCCGGTCACACCTCAAACCCTTCACCTGAGAGCTGCCTCGCCTCTTCTTGCCCCATAAAGACAAACACTTCCCTGGTCGATACCAGAAATGTGATCTTTAATTTTAAAGAATACTCTCTGCCATAAGAAAAAGCAAGAAGTCATAGCAAATGGGTATAAAAAAAACAGTTCAAATGAGACCTGGTATCTGACAGCATAACAGGGTGGTTACAGGTAACAGGAATTTATTCCACATTAAAAATAACTAAAAGTGTGATTGGAACGGTTATGACACAAAGGAATGACAAACGCTTGAGATGATGGCACCCTTGTCTTTCTCCCTGCCTCCACCTTCTTTTTCTGAGACAGGTCTCGCTCTGTGGCCTGCGCCTGAGTGGGGTGGTGCAGTCACAGCTCACCACAGCCGCATGCTCCTGGGCTCCGGCAACCCTCCTGCTTCGGCCTGCTGAGTAGCTGGGACCACAGGCATGCGCCACCACGCCTATGTAACTTTTGGAATGCACCTTTGGGCAAAGCTTGCCTCTGGCTCAGTTACAGAGTCTAGATTTCTGTAGAGACAGGGTCTCACTCTGTTACCCAGGCTGGTCTCAAACCCCTGGCCTCAAGCAGTCTCCCACCTCAGGCTCCCAAAGTATTTGGATTACAGGTGTGAGCCACAGTGCTCAGCCTGATACCCCGTTTACCCTGATGTGATTATTAGGCATCATCTGCCTTTATCAAAGTATCTCACGTACCCCATAAATACATTCACCTACTCTGTACGCACAGAAATTAAACATAAAGAGAAGTTCGATGAAAAATATTTATAGATGAAATGAAAATTTAAACAAAAACGTTATTGTAGTGTCTCTAGTTTTTTCTCTTTAATTTTACGAAGGCAACAGGCTGGTTGGGTTTTTCTTTTTTTTCCTTTCTTTTTTTTTTCCATTTACTTATTTTATTGCATTGCAGGTTTTGGGAATTACAAGAATGAAAAAAACCTCCCATTTCTCTAGCCAAAATATGGTAAGTGTTTACTTCTAAACACAAGAAAGCAGGCCAGATGTGGCAACGCATGTCTGTAATCCCAGCCCTCTGGGAGCCCACAGTGGGAGAATCAGGAGTTTGAGGCCAGCCTGGGCAACATGGTGAGACCCATCTTTACAAAAAAAAAGAAGAGATGATAAAACAAGAAAACAGCTAGAGGACGGCCACCGGACTAAACTACAACGAGAAAAAGAGCCCACAAACAAGTAACTGAGGCCCTTGGAACTACTAGTTCCTTTATTCCCCAGGAAATGAGGCAAGCTAGGGCTCCTTCTAACTGCGGGCTCCCTCTCCTCACTGAGCTTTAAAAGCACAGACTTAAAAAGACCGTAACTCGAGGCTCAGCCCCTTTTCACCAATGAACTCCTGCGCTGACTGGCACACCCACTAGAGATTCCAACAGCCTGCCGCCTACGCTTAGCAACTGACTCATCCCATTCACCAAGTTCCAGGTAAAAAGCGTGACTAAGGGGCCAGTGGAATCCCCTCTCTAACTGAGGAGGAGGCAGGCTTTGCCCAGAGGTGCACCCCAGGCAGCCCAGGCGAACCTCAGCATCCTCCTCACCTTAGAGCCAGGGCAGACTCCCGGCCGGCGGAGGGCTGTGCTTTGCGTCCTGAGGAAATCCCCCGGCACCTGCCTGCCTGCCGGTGGCGGCCATGCAAACCACAGCACGAGAACAGAAGAAACGGCCGAAGCCCAGGAAAGGCGCGGCACAGCACAGCTGCCGCAGGACTGGGACAGTGGGACTTTAACCGGGACACCGCCTAGTTCCAGGGAAGGCAGTGACTCAGGTGTGAGTCTTATCGGAACAGGGACAGAATGGCATTACACACGGAACACACAGACACAAACAGACTGTTGCCATGATCAGGCTTTAAACATGAAACAGGCTGGGTGCAGCAGCTCACGCCTGTGACCCCGGCACTCTGGGAGGCCAAGGTGAGAGCAAGATTCAAATAAACAGTGACCGTGCTGCTGCAGTGTGGTTCTAATTTTTGGTTTGCTTTTTTGAGACAGAGTCTCGCTCTGGTGCCCAGGAGGAGTGCAGTGGCGCGGTCTCGGGTCACCGCAACCTCCACCTCCCGAGCCCAGGCGATCCTCCCACCTTAGCCTCCCCAGCAGCTGGGATTACAGGCACACATCACCATACCTGGCTAATTTTTATATTTTTTGTAGACACAGGGTTTGGCCATGCTGGTAAGGCTGGTCTCAAACTCCTGTGCTCAAGTGATCCACCTGTCTTGGCCTCCCAAAGTGCTGGGGTTCACAGGCGTGAGGCCCTGCACCAGGCCGGGAAGACTGAGCCTCAGAGTTTAAGATCAGCCTTGGCAATACAGGGAGATCCCATCTCTACAAAAAATAAAAAATAAATATTCATCCAGCTGGATGCACAGAACAAACGAGACTGGGGGTGACTCCTACACCTGGGGTCGGCAAGGGCGCAGCTGGCTGGGGAGGGGGTTGGGGTCGGCTTCAAAGGTCCCTGGTGGGCCCTGCAGCGCAAGACTGAGAAGCAGGAAGAAACCGAGGCAGTGAAACGGCAGAGAGGGCCGGGCGGGGGGAGCAGGGGCCACGTCCCCAGAGACGGCAGGGGGAAGAGGAGGGTTCAGGACCGCGAGGACCTCAGAGAGAGGCTGAGGGGATCACAGAGGGCTCGGACGGGGCAGCTGCAAGGAAGACTGGAGCAGAGAGAACGGAAGACCTCACTGCCGAGGCCCCAAGAGCTTGAGGGGTGGCCTTGGAATGACAACAAAGGCACGGGTTTGGAACCCCTCTCAGAAGACTCGATGACTTGAACGAGGGGTGATGAGTGGGCACCAGAAGCACTTTGCAAGCTCTGGAGGGCACTGCTGGGGGAAACGGACGCCGTAGCCAGGGGCCAGCAATAAACCACTGTCAAAGTCAGCGGTGCCAATTAGGGCAGCCTGCCGCGTGGCTGACACCAAAGATGGCCACTACGGGAGCGGCGCTGAAGGCTGAAGTCCGGTGCCCCAAATACCACCCTGACACCGTCACACGGCCAAACACCCTGACATCGTTTCTGATGAGTCTGTGACCTCCCTACTTCAGAGGACCGAACAGGAATGGATTGCAGGACCAGGATGAGAAAGCTGATGTGCAGAGGCAGAAACATGGGGAGAGAGAGACATAAAAACGGTGAGAGAATGCCACACACCCCAAAGAAACCTTCCGAAGCAGGCAGATCACGAGGTCAAGAGATCGAGACTGGCCTGGCCAACATGGGGATACTCTGTCTCTACTAAAAATATAAAAATTAGCCGGGCGTGGGGGCACACACCTATAGTCCCAGCTACTCGGGTGGCTCAGGCAGAAGAATCGCTTGAACCCTGGAGGCTGAGGTTGCGGTGAGCCGAGATCTCGCCACTGCACTCCAGTCTGGGCAACAAAGTGAGACTCTGTCTCAAAAAAATAAAACCTCTGGGAAAAACAGTGTGACCCAGTTTCTGTCTGAGCTTCAACTCTGACCTCCCACTGGCTGAAAACAGTAACAATGATTTCTGTGTCCGCCACATCACAGTCACACACCCCAAAGTCATTCCAGAGTCTAGAGGAGGAGCAAGGGTCTAGACAGCATCTGTCCCTTTAAGGCCTGATTCAGGGGACGGGTGGAGTATTAATGATGGGCACATATTCCATAAACACTAAGAACCCACCATGCTCCGGCCTGTCCCCGGCCTGTCCCCGGCACGCAGATACACACACCATACTCGGCTGTGTCTAGAGGCCTTCACAGCACTGAATTCTCAACTTGCAGTAGAATATCAGAAGAGATTCAGAAAACCACAGACTCTAAAATGCAGGCAGCTCACCCAATCTTAAGCAACTTTCTTAAATGTTTCTTGCCATGCTTATTTTGCTTACTTCCATGCTGACACTGCATAATATTCCACTAACCTACGTAAAAACTTAAAATACATTAGGAAGACACGGATGATGATGTGTTTTTCTGACATTTTTGGATACCCTTAAAATATATCAATGTTCCAGGATTTTTTTTATACTTACAACTGGATATTCTACCAAGTATTTAAACGCAGCATATTTGGTGTCATTCGTATATTCCTTTAAACACATAAAATACCTGCACAAAATTACGCTGTACCGGCCGACACAGCTACCAGTTCAAAAGGTAAAGCCATTAAATGGCAGCCCGGAAGAGCCCACTCTCCGAGATTCCTGACTGAAGCAGGCAGTAAGGCACGGTTAACCAGTATCCATGGAAATCAGGACCTTATAAACAACTCTTGCCGTCCGCTGGAGCACTTACCTCCTCAAGAAGCCGAGTGACAGCATCTATGTCATTATATGTCTTAGTCATCTGGCCAACTCTTTCAGCACATAAAACTGTAAGAAATAAAAGCAACAATGAGACTCCCGATGTCACAAACCTGCCAAACAAACAGCTCACGTAAAAAAGAGCCCCTAGCGTCGCTGCGTGTCAGGCACGGAGGGGCGCCGGCTCTGCCGCGTTGAACCTGCACGGTAGGCACACCACCAGACCCCATTCCCAGTTCCAGTGACTGCAGGGTGAGTCTGCAGGAAGGGGATGTGCAAGCCCTGAGAAACCTTCACATGCTCTGTCTGTGTGTGTGAGCAGGTGCTGAGGGCGAGGCGATGCAGGGGAAGGAGGTCCGGCCTCACAGATACTCAGCAAACTGGACTGAGGGGCGGGGCCCAGCACAGCCACCCATGTGTGAATGAGCAGAACGACCTGGACTCCGCTGACCACACAGACCCGGCCACAGGAACGGAGCGGGATCCTTCGGAAAGCAGCTGTTGGCATAATTGTTCAACAATAGTCCTAAACTGGTCATTTCATAATGGCGCAGCCCCTCCTCCCCAAGTGGCCTACATTCTAAGGTGATGCAACCAGCTCCATACCATGAAAACTAGCCTGTTATTTTGTAAACATACATTAAAAAGACCACCACGATTGCCCAGACACACATACACATGCACATGCACTGAGAGTGCTATTCCATCACATGCACAATTCACTGTGGTCGTAAGAGTCTGCACACATGCACATGCACTGGGAGTGCTATTCCATCACATGCACAATTCACTGTGGTCCTAAGAGTCTGCACACAAGCACTTTGGGACGTGTCTTTGTTCTCCTTCCATTGAAGAAATGGGTTGTGAAACAAAAGAAGGCTTTTGTCTGCTAAAGATACATCAGGGTTGTTTTATTTTAAATCAATGACAAGGAATTGATTTGCAGTTCAACAAACACCAAGAAGGTGGCATAAGCTTTATTCTATGGCGGGAGGAGTGAATACGGATGGATTTATGGCCAGTGTGCAAACGTTTCTGAAACCTGCCACTTTGGGACGAAATAAATAACTTCTCAGTAATGCTCTGTAACTAAGGCTCTAGTGAATAATTCTCTTAAGAGTCAAAGCTTTCCTGATGACCCACATTCAGTGACAGCCCGTGCGACACATTTGGGAATTGAAGCGTATTACTAAGTCAAACTCAGCAGTGTTACAAATGGCAAACGGCAACTGGAATTCAATAGGTCTCTGAATATTTTATTAAATGCAAGTGGAGATCATCCTAGCAAATTAGCTCAGAGAAATCGGATCTGCTGGAGTGATTCTCTAGCTTAGGGAGGAGACCTGAAATCTGGTTCTAAATCTGAAACCCTCCCAAGACAGCACCACCAGAGCCAGCAGACAGGACCCCTCCACCCAGCACTTTCATGAGATCCTTCTTGTCCAAGACGGGGAAATATGCTGCCTCAGACAGAGCTGCCAGGGAGGGGCAGCAAGGGAGATGTGTAAGCGTAGCTTTAAACCAGGATCTAACTTGATGTAGATGAAGTCCAGCTCAGATTGCTCTAGATACTCCACCAGCTCGAGGTCACACAAGTGCTTCAGACTCCTATGCCACCAACCAAGTTACTTCTTTTCACACACAGCTGTGATGGTCTGCAAGAGCGCAGCTCAAACCCCGGCCCCCAGCCAGCACCCAATGCCCCTGCAGCACCTTGTACCTTATATACGCCAGGCAACAGCCCGTAGCAGTTAGGTGGCCTCTGTGTTTACATTTGTGTTGTCACCTGATGACCTGCTAATCACCCCCCTAACTGGCCCCCCCCCC